ATAACAACCTACATATTCTCTGGGAATTAAACCTAGAATTAAAAATGGTTCAAAAACAAAAGAGGACAGGAAATTGGGACATAAGGAAGGGGGGTTGAGCTGGGGAGAGTTGAGGGGAGGAGTTGGGTGAATATACACAAAATATGTTGTATGGAATTTCCAAAGAATTAATGAAGATATTTTTATTACAAGTAGTAAAAGACTAATAAATGATCTTTTTTTCTCCTTTGGATTTTTTTGAGAGAGAGTTTCTTTGTGTAGCAACCCTATCTATCCTGGAACTTGCTTTGGAGACCAGGCTGGCCTGGAACTCACAGAGATTCTCCTGCCTCAGCCTCCCAAATGCTGGGATTAAAGGCGTGTCTCACCACTGCCCAGCATAAGTGATTCCTAACTGTATGCTTATTTGGTAAATAATTCCAAACATTAGGTTTTGTTTTGTTTCTCACTATATAGCACTGGTTGCTTTGCAATTCAGTGTGCATGTAGATCGAACTAGACCCAAAGCTGTGGCCATCTGCTCGCCTGTGCCTTCTGAGTGCTGGGAGTAGAGGTGTGCACCACCAAACTCAGCTCTATATATCACTTTAATTTATGACCGCCATGTGAATGAACCTCTTAGTTATCTATGGCAAGGCCTTGAACCTCAGGCTCTCCTCTCCTCTCTTCTTATAGACTATACACAGTTCCAATTCTTTACATTATTTCTTGAGAATAAGAAAATCTAATATCCCAGACCACTGAACTGAAAAGGAATCTGCTGGGAATGAGTTAGGATAGCCGTCGGTCCTTCCTGATTGCTGCTCAGAAAGGCTCATAAACCATGCCAAGGGCAGCCAGATCCCACAGAAGAGAGCTCGGGACAAGCTGAATGCTGACTTCTGAGCACTGCTGCTCTGTAATGCTGTTTAGAGGCTGAACAGAGGGAGGGTATGATTCAAAGGAGTCGTTACACTCTTTAACAATTCTCAGGTTTTTAAAGTTGTATTTGCCTTTTGTTAAACAAATTACATAAGCAAATGTCAAGTTGATTGCTTGAAGCTGAATGTGAAGGCTTGGGCTGGTCACCCCAGCACTTGAGAAGCTGAAGCAGGAGGATTGTCACCAGTTCTAGGCCAGTCTGGGCTACAGTCTCAAAACACCTGGCGGGCAGGCGGGCGGGTGGGCGGGCGGGTGGGGGGTTGATAGCCCAAGACAGTGATTGCAGAAATGACCAGAAACCCTTAGCAGGCATTTTCAAATAATGACTTTTGCCTTCAGATTCTAACACACCTTCCAAGGAGATGTCAATTTCAGATGAGCTATTATTAACAAGTCATTGCCTCCATAAATTCTTATTGAATGACTACTAAGTGTCAGGCACTTTATCACAGTCTGGAGACTCAATGAACAAAACCAGATAGGGATATCTTCCTTCAGGGGTTTTCAATCTGGGGAAGGTGGGGCCAGCAGGGTTGAATACTGATTAAAAAAAAAAAAAGAAAAAAAGAACCCAACAGGATGCTACTTGGCCCAGTGCTCTGAAAGACAGGTGTTTAGTGGTATGAGTGATTTCACTTCAACTGTGGAACCACGGGGCAGGAAGAAAGAAGTTTCCACAAGGAAGAGAGGCTGGGATTTGAAGTTGGGAAAGGCTTTGGGTCAGAACAGAAGAACTAGAGATACAGTCTGCATGGTCCAGGTGCAGAGAGGGCCTGGTGGGTGTTACAAAATGGAGGGGAGGTTGGCAGGAGCCCAGCTGCAGAGATCATTGTAGGTTACACTGGAGTCATAGCACTTAAGTTGGGGTGAAACGATCAGAAATCTAGGCAATTTCTACAATCAATCAATCAACGAGAATGAAGCTCCTTGGTGTGTTTGTTTCTCTTTTCTCAAGTACAAATTCAAGACAAAGGTCCTAAGGAAAGCTCTGGTACCATGATTCATCTCTCCTTCCCTGGAGCTTTTAATTCTGGCCAAGATTCATTCTGCTCTAGTGGGGCCTGTGTGTAGATCCAGTCAAAGTTTATTACTTAAATTTGGAAGCGAATGATTTCAGGTTATTACCCAATGCAGTGTGACTGCGGTTTCCCACTCTTCCACAGAAGCACTAGGGAGCACTCTGTGGCTCAATCTTAGTTGTAAATAAAATTATTTACCTGCCTCAACAGTACAGGTATTACGACTAAACGTTAATGGTATACAAAGCATTCAACTAGGCACACAGTGTTTTAAAAGTGAGTTTTTATTATGATATATTAAAAATTCTGCGTGTGGTGTATGTGCATTGGATGTATTTGCTATTTTTCGAGACAGCGTCTGACACAGAACCAGAAGCTCACTGTTTGGTTAGGCTAGCCAGCTGCAGCAGCCCCACTCCCGTGGTGCAGGTTACAGGAGTTAGCTGTCACCCTGGCCTTTTGTGTTCTTGTGCTTTGAGCTCAGGTCCTTGATGTATACAGCAGGCACTCTACTGCCTGAGCCATCTCCCTTACTTATTGCAAGTATTAACTGCTCCTCCATCCCAGACCTCAGTGCGGTGTGAGAACCCATGGGGAAGGGGGACAAAGGGGCTTCTTGGAGATTCTTTCTAGAGGTCAAAGCTATTTTCTGTCTTAAAATAGGGTCTTCCTATGTAGTCCTAGCTGGCCTGGAACTCCTCCCTGTAGAGCAGGCTGGCCTTGAACTCACAGAGATTGATCTGCTTCTGTTACTTGAGTGCCTGGATTTAAGGTGTGCACCACCACACCCCACCAAAGTATTTTCTTAATACCCAGAGGTTATTCTCTTCTCTAAGGTGTGGTGGGATTGTCCATAACCATGCAAAACCGGATAGTACTAATGTTCAGAAGCAGCTAGACGATCCAACTGTTTTCTAAAGGAGACATTAGTTTTCTTCTCACTCAAATTTTTATTTTTGAAGTTACTTGCCATGTATTTTAAGACATAAACCCAATGCAACTAATGTTGATATATCCCACAGAAACACAAGCTCATTCGGCCCTCAATTTTTTTGTTTTTGTTAGACAGGGTTTCTCTGTGTTGTTTTGGCGCCTGTCCCGGATCTGGCTCTGTAGACCAGGCTGGCCTGGAACTCACAGAGATCCGCCTGGCTCTGCCTCCCGAGTGCTGGGATTAAAGGCGTGCACCACCACCACCGCCGCCCGGCTCAATTTTTTTTTTTTTTTTTTTTAGGAGTAAGGACATTGGTGTTCATGTTTGAACAACCATAGACACCACAACTTGCTCTCCAAGTCCGCACGCCTTTTTGTAGTGGTTACCTCACCCTGGCCTGACTTCTTCCATTCCTTCCCCTGAAACGTCCCATTCCACCTAAAACACGTTCACCAACGGCGCTGGCCCGGGTGCGGCGTCCGCTGCGCTGTGGGGACGCCCGCGGTGCCCCTAGGCCAGCCTAGAGTTAAACTCTCAGCGCCGACCGAGGCTCGGGTGAGGCACCCGGACTTCCGGGTCAACTAGGCCACACCTGGCCGCTTCCAGGAGGAAGCCGCCCGGAAGGCAACACCAGCGACTCGAGCCCGAGAGGGCGTTTCCGGCCCGCCCCGCCTTGGGAGGGAGGAGCCACGCCCACACCGGAGGGCGTGGCCTCCAGCCGGCGCGGGAAAGGGGCCGGCGCGGCGTGTGCGCGCTCAGCCGGCGATCGCGCGCAGCACGGTCAGGGTGGGGATGGCGGCGGCGGCGGCGGCGGCGGCTGGGAGCGGGACGCCCAGAGAGGAGGAGGCTTCCGGAGGGGAGGCAGCAGCTCCCCAGGCCCAGGCCCCGACGAGTGCACCCGGGGCTCGGCTCTCGCGGCTGCCTCTGGCGAGAGTAAAGGCTTTGGTGAAGGCGGACCCTGACGTAACGCTCGCGGGACAGGAAGCCATCTTTATCCTGGCGCGTGCCGCGGTGCGACGGGAAAGCAAGGGCGCCGGGGTCGGGGGAGGGGGCGTGGCATCCGAGGGGGGCGTGGCGCGAGGGGCGTGGCGTGGCGGGCCAAGGTGTGCTGACCTAACTTACCAAGAGGCCTGGGAAGGCTTCTGCAGGGCGCTTTGAGTTTGTTGGTCGCTCGCCTCTTCCCGAGGGCCCACGCCACTTTAGTGTGCGGCTCCGGTGGCTCACACCGAACTTGAAGGGGTCCCTCGGGAATGAGTGGGGTGGATTTATAAGTATCCGCAGGGGGATGGTGAGCTAGCCTATGGGGAAAGGAATAGCAGAAGTATCTTCATGAAGCTTAGGGCAACCTTAGCTTCTAGAACTTTCCTGAGTGATAGAGTTCCCTTCACCCTTCTTGCTCCACAGGATCGCCCCCACCTCTACTAGAGTTAACTGATCTTTGCTGTGCTTGTTTGCTTCGCAGGAACTGTTCGTGGAGACTATTGCAAAAGATGCCTACTGCTGTGCTCAACAAGGAAAAAGGAAAACCCTCCAGAGGAGAGATTTGGGTAGAGTCACTGTGGTACCTCAGGGTGGACAAGGGAACCGTGGGCTAGGCTTCCTTCCTCCCTCCCTCCCTCCCTCCCTCCCTTCCTTCCTTCCTTCCTTCCTTCCTTCCTTCATTTTGGGTTTTCGAGATGTGTAATAACGTCTAGCTAGAACTCGATCTGTGGATCAGGCTGGCCTGGAACTCACAGTGCTGCGGGGATTAAAGGCTTCCCCCTCCACCCCCCAGGCTTTCTTATAGCTGGTTCCCAAGGCATCACTGAGGCAAGGGCAAGTTTGGTTTGTGGTTTCTTCATCCAGCTGGTAACGCTTGCACATGTGTAAGCCTTTACAGACTGGATCTCTCACCCCTTTCTATGCTGCCAGACTCTTTTCTAGTAACCTTAGAGCTGAGAGAAAAATGAATTTAGATTCTAAACAGGACTGTAGGAGGTCTTACTGAACAGCGTTTACGTGGGCTTTTATAGAAAGGCAGTTAATACGTAAGAATTAATAATGTAAAAATAGATCTTACGCTATCAAGGGATATATATTTTATAAATGATGTTATTTGCATAAAATCCCGTGCCTTGGCACTATGTGGACCGTGCAGTTTTGGGTCTGACGTCTAAATGACAAGAACTAATCAAGTACCCCTTTTCCTTGTGTTTCAGATAATGCTATAGAAGCTGTGGATGAATTTGCTTTTCTAGAAGGTGAGTTCACCAGCTGCATAAATCATTTCCCTGCAGATGACAGGAGTTCAAACCTTATAAAAACACATGCCTGGTTCTCCTCTGTGTACATGGGAACAGTTCTCCCTGGTTCCTATTTTTATGAAAAAAAGAAACATTTTCTGTTCTTGGGAATTAGAGTTTCTACTGGGAAATTGCTAGCTTTAAAGCAGAAGGAGGGAGTATAAAAGACACCGGTAGAGTTAGTTGGATTTACAGTTTGAATCTTACTTAAATCTCCATCCCAGATATCATGATGTTAGGAATTAGAAACAATTTGTAAATGTTTTTAGAGATTAATTTTTATTTATGTGTATGTGTTTTTGTGTGAGTATATGATATACCACATGTGTGCAGATACCCATGGGCTAGAAGAGGGCATCCAGTCCCCTGGAGCTGGAGTTACAGGTGGTTGTGAGCCACTAAACTGGGTGCTGTGAACTGAACTCAGGTCCCCTGGAAGTGCAGCAAGCACTCTTAATCACTAATTGATCTCTCTACTCTTGGTTCCTAACTTTTAAAGACAGGGTCTCATGTAGCTGAGCACCTTGAATTCATTAGGTAGCTGAGAGTGACCTTGAATTCCTTTTCTTCCTGCATCATCTCCCAAGTGCTAGTAAATAATAATATAATAATGATAATAATAATAATATTAATATAATCTTCGCTTACTCTTTTCACTCTGTTCTGCCTCTCTGTGTCAGCCTATGTCCCAGCACTCTTTATATGTTATTTTTGAAAGATGCCTTCCTAATATCTGCTTCAAGTCTAGGTTTTTGGGTATTCTCTTTAAGTTGTAGATCTTTGTCTTTCCACCTGTCTGTCTTAACAATAGCTTCTCTTAGTTGCCCGCCTGGCTTATAGCCGAGTGTATGGTCACCCTTGGCAGTGTTCTGTGTGTGCTTGAAGAGAGAGTGTTCTAGTTGCTGGTGCAAAGTCAAGGAACGCAGTGCAGATTTCCCGTTTTCTTTACTCATTTTTATCAGTTACCAGGTAAGAATTGCCTGTTAAATTCTCCAATCATAGCTGCAGGTTATTTTCACTTATGATTCTGATTCTGTTTATTCTGTAAGACCATATGGTTAGGTATGTAAAAGTTTAATATTATGTTGTTTGTGACAGCCCGTAGTATTTAATGGATAGATTGACTTGTTATTTCTGGTAGTGATTTTGAGACTCCCGCTTAAAGGGGGTTATTCAGCCCTCCCATTTGGACAGACAGAGGTTTGACTATTGCTTCCCTCAGCCTGCCAAACAGCCCCTCTCAAAGGCTGGCAGATGCCTTTGGGCCACCATAGCTTTGGAGGCTGGCCTTAATTTGTGACTTTGCCCTCTCTGGGTTGTAGATGTGCCTCTTGATTCATTTTCAGTTATTGAGAAATTTTATTTTTATAATAAGCTTAGCTTTATTCCTTGTTCTCAACAGAGATTTGCCCAAGTTGGCAGTCATGATGCCTCATGCCTGTAAATCGCAGTCCTTAGGGCACTGAGGCAGGAGGATTTTAAGTTTGCGGTTAGCCTTTGCTACAAAAGGAGCTCCATTCCATCCTGACCAGTGACATACTTCCTTAAACAACAGTACAAAACACCAAAGAAAGTTACGAGTTTTTAGTTCCAAGTGTCTCTCTGGTTTGATTTTTCTAATGTTTAGTCCCCTGAATTATGCCTTATTACAGGATTAAAAAATGCCTTTGGCCTCTCCGTGTACTGTGTAGGCTCCTTCAGTCCAGTGCTGTTCTTCTTTGCAAACATGAGGAACGATGAGGCTGGGAAGCCATGTGTCTGTAAAGTGGTGTGGTTGGTGCTTTGTACCTTCACTTCGGGGTAAACAGGTGTGGGAGCAGATGTCACACTGAGGCCCCACAGGCCAGAATGCAGAATGCTAACTGGGCGTGTGGTTGCCGAGGCTGCTTTAGTTTCCCTGGATAGCCAGGTCACTTGGTTATTTTGAGGAAACTCCTGTGATTTTTTTTCTTCTTCTTCTCCATATATGTTTAAGTCCCTGGCTTCTGCATATAGGGAGGGTTGTTTGAGGCATGTGGGGAGGCGAGCCTGTGTCATGTAGGGCATCAGCTCCTTTATTTCCTCTCACTTCCTGCCCTGTCAGTCCTGGTAACTAGGTCTAGCGCAGTGGTTCTCAACCTTCCTAATGTTGTGACCCTTTAATACAGTTCCTCATGTGGTGCTGACCCCTTCATAACTGTAACTTTGTACTGTTATGAGTGGTAATTAAATATATTTGGAGATAGAGATTTGCTGAGGGGTCATGACTTCTGCTGGTTCTGGGGTGGGGTAGCGCCTCTTCTCTTGCATCCCCTCTATTAGGCTCCCGTCTTTTTTGCTCTGTTTATAAATATGCTTCAGTGAGATGTTGATGATTCATTCTTTTTCTGTTCTTGAATTGCCCAACTGCTAGTGGATCTTTGTTCTGTATTGTGGATTTATGTCTTTTTAAAAGCTTCTTCTCTTTTGAATAGAATCTTGGGGAGTATGCAAACTTGTGTGCTCAGGTGCCACCATAAACTGGGACTCTCTGAGAAAAGATTCGAGGGACCGGGGAAATGGCTCAGCAGTTAAGACTGTAGGATAGCAAAGGACCCCAGTTCAGTTTCAGCACCCACATTAGGTGGCTCACAACCTCTGGAACTCTAGCTCCAAGGGATCTTGATGCCGTCTTCTGGCGTCTCTGGGCATGGTATATACACATTTACGTACAAAAATACATGTAATTAGAAGGGAATCATTTTTAACATTATAAATGCTTTGCTCAGGGAGCCTTTATTATTTTTAATGTTCATTGAGTAATGTATCGATTCTTTAGCTCTTTTCCAGCTCTAGTTCCAATTCTGTGCATTGGTAGGCTTAAATTCCACTGGCTACTTCTTCAGTGACGTCTCCCCCTGGGACTTTTGGATAGACGTTCCTCAGATTGGAACTGCTGTTACCGGCAACACCCCATGTGCTTTAACTGCCCCGTTTGGGACACGCCCCCAGACTGAGACACCTTGCTTGCTTTACACATTGCCCTTTGTGTTTTTAGGCACTTTGGATTGATTGTGGAGCTGGATGATCTTGTGAGCCTTTGCTGCACCTTCCTCTTTTCCTGTGCAAGCCTCAACTTCGGAGAGTCTGCCAGTTACACAGTCGTCTTCTTCTACTTTCTCAAGCTGCACGAAGCAGAGCTCTCTGAGAGCATTCTCCACCAACCAAGTCTTCCATTACTCGAGTCTGTCTTCCACTTCAGGCCTGGATATAGCTGCTGCTGGACGGAAGGACTCTACACAGTGGCTCACTGAGCAGGAAGACCAGAGTGAAGGTCTCTGCTCAGCTTCGTTCCGTGTTTTCGAGTCCTGCCTTTGCTCTTGCCCTGTGACTGGAGAACCAGGTGGTCAGGCACAGACTTTCCACCAACCATCCTGAGTCACCTTTTTATTAACTTTGTTCTTTCTCAGCGTGTCATTGGAATGTGGGTCTATAATTTATGGGATTCCACTTTTCCTTAGGAGTCAAAGCGATGTCCTAGCAGTTTTATTGAAGTATGGTTCATTTGTCATAAACAACTTAAACTGTAAAATTCAGTGGGATTTTTTTTTGAGATATTCATAGGTATGTGTAGCAAGATTTTGAACATTTTCCTGCGAACAGATTGACATGAGTCTTTTGTGTATGACAAAATTTCAATAATGTTATTTAAATTTTATCTGTGCTGTGATATGTATTTGTACCCATAAGTTGTGAAATACACATAATATAAAGTTTCCCATTTTAACCGCTTTTCAGTGTGTTGCTCAGTGGCAGTGAATATTTTCAAAGTGTTGCACAACCGTCACCATCATTGGCCTCCAGAACTTTGGGTCATGTTCTCAGCCTGCAACAGCATGGGACAGTAACTTCCTTTCCCTTACTCCTCCAGTGCCTGGCTAAATTCATTTTCTTGTGTTTTTGTGAGAAGGTGTGGGCAGTGTGTTTGGAGAACTTAGAATGTTCAGGAAGGCAACAGAAAGCTTGGCCAGGGCTTCTTATAGTGTTCTGCAGTGTAGATCTCTTAAGATACAAAGTCTGCAGGATGTTTTTTTTCAGAATAGTAAACTCAATCTTGTAACATGTTCAAAATAAACTTTCAGAAAAATACTAGATTTATAGAAAAGTGCTTTTGGGTCCTGCTTATGGGTCCTCCATGGCTAACATTTCAGTGTTAACAGGAACTGACATTAATGGGTTGCTGTTTGTTGAGTTCAAGTTTTTATTTGAATTTCACTATTTTTTTCTATTAATATCCTTTGTTTTGAGAGTTAATCCAGAGTACTAAATTATTCTTGCTTCCTGTGTCTCCCCAGTCTTTCCTCAAGTTTCTTAGTTTTGTTTTTCATTTGTGTGTGGTTGCACATGCAGGGATCTGCTTTTATGTGGGTTTCGGGGATCAAACTTGGGTCATCAGGCCCTAATTGTTGGGTAGCGAGTGACTACTTTATCTGCCGGTCCATCTTGCCAGCTCTATTTCCTTGTCTGTCTGTCTGTCTCTTTTAATTGTGAGTGTTGTATGCTTGTGCCTATGGGCGCCATGGCATAGGAGCAGATTGTAAGTGCCAGTGTTTATTTACCAAGGTCACCTGATATGGTTTTGAGAAATTAAATGAGCCTGTTTGGAGGGACCACAGCACAACTGAGACTGTGACAATTTTATTGAGAGTAATCAGACTTTTTATACTTTTATCAGAAACAGAATATAATGGCAGTTGCCAGGATCAATACAGTTGTATTGCCAGAACACAATGAAACTGGCAAGCTATACAGGGTACACCACATTAATGTCTGAGACCAGTTGTCCTGTCGAGCCTCCATGTTTCCTTGACTTCTGAGGGAACACTTCACTGCCTGAAGGAGTGTGCCAGCTTCTCAGGAGCTGGAAGGCACACGGGTGCCCCAGGAGCCATCGACCCTAACCTGAAAACCTGTGACGAATGCCTCTCAAGGCAGCTGGGCCAGGCCAGCTCCATGGCTCCTGCAGCAGGTGTGGTTTCTTGTTGAGCCGTCTTGCTGGCCCTTTCCCTGTTTTTGATTACGTTGGCAGCCTTGACTAATGCTGGCCAAGTACCCTGTAGCCTCTTCCCGCCCTGGTTTGCATTTTTTCTGTGACTAGTTACACCTGTAACTGAATATAATTTTGAGTGTTACATAGACCCAACAATAAGGCCTGTTATTACACATATTTGAATGTGCACACTTTTTTTTCAAGAGGAAGTTAAAATTATAGGCTTTGGCCAATAGGGAGAGATCAATCAGTGTATGTTATCAGCATTTCTTTATATGACAAGGTTAATGTTTGTGTTTATTTTAGTTTGTGTGTGTGGCGTGCATGTATGTTCACATATGTGTGTAAGCCAGAGTTTGATGCTGGTTGTTTTCCTCAGGTGTCCCACTTTATTGAGGCAGGGTCTCTAAACTCAGCTTGCTAGTTTGGTAAATCTAGCCAGCTTGCTGTGGTGGGTTTATTGCCTCTGTGTTGGGATTATTGGTGGGTTGCTATGCTCACCCAGCATTTACATGGATGCCAGGTATCTGAACTCGGCTTCTTGTGTTGATGTAGCAAATACTTCTACCTGTTGAACCATCTACTTTGGCCACATTCTTGAAATATAAAAATTCCTTAATGTTGGTGTACTTTTAAAAAATATAAACAGAAAGGATATTAGATGCTGTCACTAGAAAAATATGAGTTAATATGTTTGAAAAATTTCTGGGCACAGAGATGCATGCCTTTGATCCAGCATTCAGGAGGCAGAGGCAGGTGGATCTCTTGAGTTTGAAGCCAGCCTGCTCTACAGTTCCAGGATAGCCTAGGCTACACATAGAAACCCTGTCTCAAAATAAATAGATAAAGATTAGGTAGATGAAACCATCTCATATTGGACTAGAGAGTTGGCTCAGTGGTTAAGAACACTTGTTGCTTGAACAGAGGACCTGGGTTGTTTCCCACTTCCCAGTACCCAATTAGTGACTCACAGCCATCCCTAACTTTAGTTCTAGGGAATCTGACATGCTCTTCTGACCTCTGTAGGTACCAGGCACTCACATGGTGTGTGTATAAGTTACGAAAGCAGTGCACATGATTTAAAAAGGTAGTAGTATTGAGCCAGGCATGGTGGCACATCCCTTTACTCCCAGCATTCATGAGACAGAGGCAGGTGGATCTCTTGAGTGTGAGGCCAGCCTGGTCTACATAGTGAGACACTGTCCCAAAAGAAAAGAAAGTTAGTATTGAGTTCAGTTAGATTGTGGTGATAATGTATTCCTCAATATATCGTGCACCCTAATAAACTTATCTGGGGTCAGAGAACAGAACAGCCACTAGATATAGAGGCCAGAAAATGGTGGTACACACACCTTTAATCCTAGCAATCCAGAGGCAAAGATCTGTCTGGATCTCTGTGAGTTTAAAGCCACACTGGAAACAGCCAGGCATGGTGACTCACGCCTTTCATCCCAGGAAGTGAGCCTTTAATCCCAGGAAGTGATGGCAGAAAGGTATACAAGGCATGAAAACCAGGAACTAGAGCTGGTTAAGCTTTTAAGCTTTCGAGAAGCAGATCAGCTGAGATCCATTTGGATGAGGACTCAGTCTGAGGAAACAGGATCAGCTGAGGAACTGGTGAGATGAGGTGGCTGTGGCTTGTTCTGCTTCTCTGATCTTCCAG